TAATTCTAGTAGTTTTTTGGTGAGCTCTTTGGGTTTCTCAAAATATAAGATCATACCGTCTACAAATAAGGATAATTTGACTTCTTCCTTTCCAATTTGGATGCACTTATCTCTCTCTCTCGTCTGGTTGCTCTATCTAGATCTTCCAGTACCATGTTGAATGGCGAGAGTGGGCATCCTTGACTTGTTCCAGATCTTGGGAGGAAAGGCTTTCAGTTTGCCCCCACTTAGTGGGATGCTCACTGTGGGTCTGTCTTATGTGGCTTTCATTGTGAGATTTTTCCTTCTATACCCAGTTTTGTGAAAGTTTTTATTACAAAGAATGTTGAGTTTTATCAAATGTTTTTTCAGCATCAGTTGAAATTATCATATAGTTTTTTTTCTTTGTTCTGTTGATATGATGTATCACACTGATTGATTTGCATATATTGAACCATCCTTGCATCTCTGGAATGAATCTCAATTGTGATGAATAACCTTTTCAATGTGCTATTGAATTCAGTTTGCTGGTATTTTATTGAGAATTTTTGCATCTATGTTCATCAGAGATATTGGCCTCTAGTTTTCTTTTTTGTTTTGCTGTGTCTTTATCTGGTTTTGGTAGATTAGGGTCCACTAATGAAGCTCTTAGAGCAATCATACTAGATTCATCATACTGTAAAGCTGTGATGTACCCCAAGAAGCAACCAAACATTTGATTCCTAAATTTGCGTAAGAGTTAAATGAAGTATCTTTTTAACACCTAAGTTTTGATTCCACAAGAGAGAAAACATTTTCAGGTAAGAAAAGGAACCAGAAAAACTATTATAATGTTAAATCAAATATAATGTATGCATTAGGGAAAAATAAAAGAAGAATGTAAAGGGAAAAAATAAAGACTACTCTGGAATTTAATGGCAAGGTTCAAATGCACTGCCTTTAGCAAAATGGCAACAGAGGCATTCCAGAGGATCAGGAAAGAGATATAATGAATGTTACAACCCAAAGAATTTTCATGGGGCTCATATAACAAGAACTGGAATCTGCACACTGTGTCATTTCAACTGTGAGAAAACAGGTGCTGAAACCTACTCAGATTGAAAAACAGACCTTAGTCTGCAGCTTGTGGTGTATAGAGATATGAATTTAACAGCCATATCTGAAGCCCATCTTTCCCTTAAATCACTAGACTGCATAAATCCTAGTAACTCCGAAGGCAAATTGGGTTATGGAACAAAGGAAGCAAAGCATAAGAGTTTGAGATTTCACTTTCCAAGGCATTTAGCTAATAAGCCTGCCTTTCTGTTCAGACGGCAGGACTGCTAAGAATGAGGGGAAGTAAATGAAGGAACAATTGGACCAGTTCTTATTTTCTTGAACAGCAAAGACTCATGTTTAAAATATATAGATAGATAGATAGATAGATAGATAGATATACAATTTAGGGCTTTATTTCCCAACAGGAAAGAATTACAAAATAAAGCCCTTAAGTCACAAGGAAAATTGATATTTTCTTCTGAAATACTGAACTTTTAGGTTTGGAAACTGTGTTATAGTTGAAAGACTAAGCTTTTAGAAGCCAGGAAATTCCCAAGCAAGCCTACAGCGGGGCTTACTTGGACATATTACACACAGTACATATTTTCCGGTCTATATCTAACAAATGAAAAGATGGAAAAAGAAGTTCTGCATGTTCAACATGGCAGAACAAATTCTACAGCACAGAGGAAAATGTCGAGATGTCCTGAACAATACTACAAAACTAAATATCCCACTAATTTAATTTTAACAATGCATTTCCCTTTAAAAAAAAATTTAGAACAAGAAGTCACCCCAGTTGAGAAAGATTGCATCTGTAAAATACTGTGTACATCACCATCCTATAAATCTGAGAGGCGGTTCCATCTCTCTTGGCAACTCTCTAAAAATCCCATGAAACAAATGCTTATTTTTCACAACCCCAGACCTTCATTTTCTATCTTTGGAACTTAAAAATACTTACATAATTGTCTTCAGATATGGCTTGAATTTTCTTCCTTGATGGTAACAGCATTCTTGCCAACTTTAAAATTTATGGCTACCACTATGTTTTTTAATTTTTAAAAGCACAAAAAAAAAAAACCACCACTCCTTGGAAATGAATATTTCTTCATCTTCATAATCACCCCATGTCACATTGAAATGTACTTCAACCCGGCATCCAAATGGAAAGGACATTCACCCCTGAGTCTCAGACCAAAATATCACATTTGGAGATAATGATATTAGTAACTTAAAACTACTCCAGTGACAATCACACCTACGTTATTAAAACCTTCATTACAAAGTAAAATGGAACATCTAGTAATCAAATTCTTCGTGTGTGTGTGTGCATGTGTGTGTGTAGAAAACTGACTGTCTCTAACTTTTACAGATTACACCACAGTTTCCTAAGGCACTTCCACATAACTTCATGCCTTTGATGTTCCAATACTCCTGAAAGGTACACAAGAATTATTTATTATTCCATTTGATAGATGAATAAACTGAAATACAGAAAGAATAAGTGCCTTGCTGAAATCCAAAGCTTATCAGTGGCAAATCCTGAAATAATCAACCAGCTTGCTGATTCCCCCCTAGTCCTTCGAAAGAGGGTTTGAGCATGAGAAATGCTCAGATTTGTTGCTTTTCTAAAGCAGTTTTAACAATGCTCCTTTTTTTCTGCCCAGAATCAAAAAGCTTGATAGTGTATGTCACCCACATTACAGTGAGACTATATCAAAAGCCTGTTTGAAAATATTAAATGTCAAAAATGATATGCCCTTGAAAACCTATAAATTGATATGATCAATATAAAACTAGTCCAATAGCTTCTGAGGTGGAAAATACTGACATTTGCTAGGGAAGAAATAAAAAAAAAAAAGATAGCTGGGCCAGAGTTTAATTTTTTAAAAGATAATCTAGGAAAACATTATTTCAAGGATATAAGGGTGAAATTAAAATGAAGGCACAGGCTACACAGTATGTTTGAACCCTGAATCTTTCCAAACAGATTACGACTTTTTCTACATTTTCCTCTTGAATTGGGACCCCCCAACAAGGGGGCAATGCAACAAACAGCCTTGTGGCTTTTGAGGTTGTTAAGTTTCAATTTTTGTAAGAACCTAACTGGCATTTGTAATCCCTAAAAATCAACATTAAAGGCAGCATTCCTGTTATTTCACATGACTCAGGATTGGTTTGTCTTTTAAACTAAAAGAAGAAATCAAAACAAATGGAGAGGTGTCAGTTTAAATCTGTAATATATGTTTCTCTCTCCTTTCCCATTACTGGGCAAGCTCCTAAAAGGCAAAAATAATTTTTTTTTCCTTGTCTTTCTTCATTTCCCCTCCCCCCACAGAGAACTTGGCACAAGCCACCAGGAGTTCACTGACTGTGGAAGAACCTTGAAAGAAATTCTCTGATGTCCCTTCCACACCAAGGCACTTGATCATCTGGAGGCATTTTGTAGTAGGAAATGAACAGTTCAAATGATGACAATCACAAAGACTAGGAGGGAAGGGGGTAGGTCAGTTTGCAATGCCTGTGCAGCAAATACCCAGGCAGGTGTTGGAGTGGGTACCATGACTGGAAAGACAACTAGATCAGGCCACATTTCTCTCACTGGGTCTTACCAAGTTTGCATATGTGCTGTGGAAAGAAGTCAGGTGAGGACCACTCACTGGTAATAGCCACTGTGAAAGGTGTATTTACGCCATCGGCTAGACCAACCCAACTACAGCCAAGTTCAGAATGAAATAATTTTCTGTTGGATAACTGGGCCTTTTCTCTTTAAAATATGCCTATAAATTCCTCAGGCCATGGTTCAGTTTGGGTCACATGGTCTGCGTATCTGTCTTCTAAGTCAGACTGTATTAAAAATAAATGCATTTGATATTTTGTGGTATTTTATTTTGTATTTGTCCTTAGTTTTGACTATCTAGTACCAGTGAAAGTAATACTTGAAGTTGAAACCATTTATATGCCAAAAATATATCTTAGAATAAGAATCAAGTTTCTTTAAATTAAAGAAAACCTGGTTGCATGAACAAGAAGGGAAAAAATTAGTGAATTCAAGCTTTTAAAAATGACAAGGTCTGTGAAGAATCGCAACCCCTAGACCAGCATAGAAGGTTGGACAATTAAGTTTGCGAACTCATTCTAGAAAATTGCTACATATACCTCACTGCTGTTAGCATCATGGTCCCCTTTGAGGCCCTCCCCTGGGAAACTATTCACTGATGCCAGCACCTAGTCTACCCTTCAAAACAGTTTCAGAGCTCTTTTTCTGGAATAGCCATCAGAGCCGTCATCGTACAAGTTTAGACAACTGAGTTAACAAATTTGTCCCAGAAAAAGTGCTACATACCTCCTTTCTGAATATCATTACAGTCTCCAGATAGCCAAAGGGAGTACTTTAAAGGTGATCACAGTGATATTCAGCAATGAGGTATGGGGCACTTTTTCTAGGATGAATTCACAGACTTAATTGCCTGATCTCCAATATAAAGCTTACATACTTTATAGAGAAGAGACTATTCACCCAAACAGATTACATCTAAGTTCACAAAGGAAAGTTTTTATAAAACATGACTTTATATTGTGACTTAGAGAAACTGAAATAGCTTATATTCAATAAATTGTACTTGATATGTCAAACGAATGTGAAAAACTCTTTCCAAACAAATTTTAAGTGTGCGTTTGTTACTGCTTATCTACTGGAGTTCAAGTACAGACTGCAGACCATCATCCAAAAATAATGAGTAGCTAAGACACATATGACTTCACAGGCTGCACCACAGAGCCAACTCCTTTATCAAAAGAACAATAAAACCCCTGCCCTTCAGCCACAGAGCCCAGACCTCCTAAGTAAGTAAATTCAGAGTTAATCTTGACACAGACGGTACTATCAAAAGGTGGTGGAAATGCAATACAAATCCACAATGTTTGCTCTAGACAAGCCAGCAGGAGGGTTGCATGTGACAGTCAAGTGTTTCACGTACTTTGCGAAGCCGATGAAGTCTTCGTGGTTGGTGTTGATGTAGGAGACTTGGATATCAATCAAGAGGAGGACCTGTGAACCGAAGAGAGAGACTTCAGTAAACACCCATCTTAAAAATTCTCAAACATTACATTCGACCACTGCCCCTAAATTATTTATCTTCGCTTAATTTTTTAAAGGATGCTTCAATTAGGAAAGTCACTTTGATGTTTCTTCATTAGACTCGCACCGTTGTACCCTAAACTCATAAGTTAAAAATCTACTTGAAAAGTTAAGTCTAAGTACCCAACGAGGAGAAGAGTACTGTCATTTATGGGCACTTACTATTGTCTAGTTTCATAGAGAATGGAGAATGATCCGATTCTTCTACAATGTAGGCATATGTGGCAGGAAGGCCAGTAAGGGGCTGCTCTGAGCTTCCTGCTCTTGTACACACCCTACGTGTACACACCCTATTTGTATCTCCTATAGCATCCAGCTCTGTACGCATCTTATCAACCTACCCACAAAGGCAACAGACAAATAAATACGAGGCTTCCTTGAGATCAGTCAGCTTCATCAGCCGGGTCTCTGCCAAAACACCTCTTCAACAGAGGGATCTTCCCTGCCCGATCTGTCTAAATTGGCACCCCTGTTACTCTCGGTCATCTTACCCAGCCTACTTTTTTTTTTAGCACTACCACTAGGGGACATAGCACGTTTTCACATGTTCCATATACAGACCTCATCTGTCGTTCACTGCCGCATCCTGAGTGCCCAGAACAATTCCCGGAACACCGTGTGCATTCAGTCAAGATTTGTGAAGGAAGAAACTGAAGGTATGTCCCAGCCAACGTGAAAATACTCTAATCATAAGAGACTTACAAACTCTAAGCCAGACATCTGGAAAGTCCCTCTGTGGAAAATATTCTTCAATGGGGAGACAGGGAGCCCGAGAGAGAACAAGAGGGAAGCTGAGCAAGGGGACACCGTAAGAAAGAGGGTTTTATTCCAGAGGAATTCAAAACTGAGCTCCTCTCCCTAAGTTTCCTTTGCTCTACAACTGTGCTCTATCTTTTTGTAGGATGCTGGAAGGAACCGATAGGAGAAAATAAAGGACTTACGAATCTCTGCCTGAACACCTCCAGAGCTCTGCACTTTGAGCTTGCCGAAGGAGCTTTTGATGACCTCAGTGAGTATGTCTACGCTGCCTCCCTTCACGGAAGGCCACAGTTTGCAGACACAGGCCACACCATGCTTCCCAGTGGGCAGCGCCCAGGAAAGCTTTCTCTGATCCTCACCTCCTAACCTCGCCCGAGAACAGGATGGATCCTGCTGTTACTTTTAGCCCCTATCCCATAATTACATACCTGTATATTGCTCCCTGCTCCCTATACATAAGTTTGTGTTCACTCCAAATGTAATTATTTCCATAACTTTTGTGTGTGATGTTTCTCTTCCCTACAAGACTGTGAGCTCCCGAGAAGCAGGAATTATGGTTGTCGGCTTCACCCTTTTATCCCCAGAACTTCGCATGATACACACAATAGGTATCCAATAAATATTTGTGGTTTTAATTTCGTAACTATCTACCAGGCTTGAAAAACTTGACTTGAAAGGGAACAATTTATTCCCTTGTGATTAGTATATGGCCACTTACAATAATAATAACACTAAGTTTCTTACTCAATACCCAATGCTAGGAGCTCTGAGGTTTTGCCTTTGTGGCTGAACTCAACCAGTCATCTGACCAAATCTTGCTGAGAGTCACAAGGGGACCTGCTACAGGCAGACTTAAAAGATCACCCCAAATTCACTGCCACTACCAATAATAAAGCCGCAGCACAGGGCCTATTGGTCAGTAACATCATACTTGTATGAAAAAATTTCATATGCTCAGACACGGTTTCATTTCATCCCTTGAAGAAAACTGAAGACTTAGGCAGAGTGACCCTTATGAGACATGCTGTAGTTTTGCCCCTATTCTCCCAACAATAAAGCCACACTCCGGTAAGTGTTAGATTCCCAAATCCATTTGTCCAGAAGCTTGTACTAAGAAACTGCAATATTTAAGCACAAATAAATTGTTGCCACAGTAAGGAGGAAAATATCTACATAATTCTCAGCATTGCCAAAGGGTATCGCAAATGTCTTGGACGTTCACACACATTAACTTGGACCGCAATATAGGAAAAAAGTGGAAAAAAAGGAAAGCTATGGCTGTTCTCATTCATATTCCTGGAAACTGGGAGTCTGTGTTCACTCTAGGAAAGGAGCCAGGTCGCATGTGGGGGATGAACAGGCAAATAGTCCCTTTTCCCTCATGTTTCTCACTGTCTCCGAGTTTCTCACTGCGTTTTTCACCCACGGCTATTGCACATGTAGGTGAAGGAAAGTGAAGCCACCCCAGGTAGCAGTGATCGCCCACGGAATCGGCCACTTCCCTGCGCAGCCTCACGCATGGAAGCGCCCAGAATAGCAGCTGGCACGCAGACATGCTCAAAAACCTTTCAGAAAAGGCTCAGATAGATTTACGGTTTTCTGTATTTTTAATTTTGAAGACTCCCCCACTCCCCACACACAGAGCTTCCAGAGCAGAGGTTGGCACCAGTTCTATTTAAGGAAAGAAAAGTACAAGAATGCCTCAAAGCAGTTCAGACGAGAGACCCAAGGAAACAGCTCACTTTCTCTGACCAGGTAGTGCAAAAGTACCACACGGCCCAGGGCAGCACAGGGCTCAGAATTCCAATGTGAGCTCCATCCCACATGGCGTGTACGTGGTCCCACAAAAGGGCACCACCAGATAGCCAGAGATATTTCCCACGTCCCTGCCATGCTGCACAGGTCCACGTTAGAGGTGACCTCTGGTGGTGTCTGCAGCCGGCTGATAACTGTGAGGCCAGACAGCCTGACATTGTCAGGGAGGGGAGTGATGCCTGTCCCTCTGCCTAGGCCACACTTGGGGAATGAAGTAATCACGGCATCAGAGTCGCAGATGGAAGATAATTTCCCCTGAAATCAGGAAAGGAAAGGCTTCCTCATATCTACTGTGTGTCACAGCTCATGGGAATAGAAACAAAAACAACTAAAATTAACTAAGAACAGACAGCCATGTCTGGATTGCTTCATTTCATCCTCGCAACACGTCTCTGGGTTAACTACCATTACTGTCCCACTTTATGATGAAGAAATTGACGTGTAAAGAGGTCAAGTCACTTGTCAGCGGTTACACAGAAAGAACACGGGAGAAGGTGAATTCAAAGCCAAGGAGTCTGAGCCCAGAGCCCACAGGCTTGATGACAATGCCAGGATTGAACGGGCCATTCTGCTGAAACAAAAATTCCGAAATACAAAATAGGAAGAAGTTAGCAATTGACTCAGCTGTGATCACAAAGACGGTTTAAAAAAAAATAATTACCTTGTTTTGTTTTTTGGGTTTTTTTTTTTTTCAGTTTTGGCTGGGGCCAGGCTTGAACCCACCACTCCCAGTATATGGGGCCAGCACCCTACTCCATTCTTCTTCAGTGTTATTTTTATAGAGCAGTGGTTCTCAACCTTTCTAATGCCACGGCCCTTTAATACAGTTCCTGTGGGTCGTGACCCACAGGTTGAGAGCCTCTGTTATAGAGGATCCCTAAGAGTTAAGTAGGATATCTCATCATGTGGATATCATAAAGACACTAAAATAGAAGTTAGCTCACTTAGGTCAGGAGTACAGCTGATTCCTAAGAATGTTAAATTTTCTCAGCCCAGGAGCAGCCAAGACAGCAGATGGGGTTGGGGGAGGATCCTCTGTCCATGAGGCTGTATATCTGGCCTTGGCCTTGATTTCACTGGCTCATGAATTAATATTGACTTGCTTATCTCAACTAAGTCATAAGGCCTGTTTTCTCCGATTTTGGCTATTGCAGCTATCCACGAGTGTGAAGGTTGGAAAACAAGTAAAAACTGTATAAATAGCAGTTAATTAGCTTTCAGAGCACGATAAAAAGTAGTAACAATGCACCGCAGGGCTCAAGCAGAGGCAAGGCTGTGACTGGAGTCATTCACAGATGCCCCAATCTGCGGGGCCTCCACCCCGCTGGCCCTTCCCTTTCCCCTTCCACCCAGCCCCACACGCACACACTGTGCATACCGTCTCTCCCCGTGGTTTGCTCCATTCTCTCTATTTTGTCTTTCTTCCAGTTCTCCCTCCCTCCCTCCAACTCACTTGAGAATCACAGGCTCTTGGAATGCTAACTTATAGAGGCTCTCAGAGATAATATAGACCAATGTCCCCGTGCTGTACATGAGAAAACAACAGTCCAGAGAAGTGATTTGCACAAGAACATGCTGTTATTTTGTGGGGAGCACATGGCCTAAGTCCAGTGTTCTCGCCACAACATCACATGTGCAGCTGTGTCATGGAATTCAAAAGTATTTAAAGACCTTTGTTTTTTTCCCATTATGCTGTTTTATAAGTAAATGAGGGGGGAAAAAATTCACTTAAATGTAAGAAGATTTGAGTATTTTCATTTAATCCTTCCCATTTTTTCATGAATTCTCCTCACTTGAAAATCATCTAAGTCACAGTGCTGGGATTAGCAGACCATCTTCAGGTCACCCCTTACAAATCAGATCCACTCACAAAATAGTTAGAAAAGTTTAAAAGTCCTTAAAATTTTTTTTTCAACCAAAAAAAAAAAAAAGTGGATGAAAAGCTATGTCCATTCTTTTTAGAAAAAAATAAAAACACTAGACATTCTGCATAGCATTTTAGGAGTCTGCGAATCTGCAGGCCCATTAAAAGTTAAGAACCTCTGTCTTAAAAATGTAGAATGTTTTTGGATTAGTGGTTTTCAAAGTAGAATGCATGCACGTGGCAATCCGTGGGGTGTTGAGGGAAAAAATAATAGAAGTCTTATTACTGTTTTTAAATTTCATTCTTCCTAAGTCTTTACATCTGTATAATGTATATAATATTATGTTTATTTTTAACATACATATTAGTACAGTAACACGAGTATAATTCATTAATGTAGTTGTTTGTTCCACTGGGTTTTTTTTCTGTGAAAGGCTAGGCCAGCTGCTGGAGACCACCAGACAGCCATTCCCACAGGCTCGCCGCCCACCAGGGAAAGTCTCCTCTTACCTGGTCCTTCGTCTTCCCTTCCCGCTCACGAATGTGGTTTGCAACGATCCTTTCCGTTTCCTCGCAGAGTCTGGGGAAGTTTGCCAGCTGTCGAGAAAAACAGATTTGAGTGTTCAAACTCAAAAAGTTATACTACCAAAAAAGAAACAGAGATAAATTACGTTATTTTACAGACGGTACTCGTTACAGTTCTGGAAGTGAAATATCATGAATTCCTAAAGAAGAATGTCGGTGATTGAAGAAGCTCCACAAAATAGCTGAAGTAGCCTCATTATCTCAGAGGAAAGACCTCAAAATCAGCAGGGCAGTTGCCTAGAAAGAAAGCAGACCCCTAGACACCATCGAGCACCGTGCACCATGGAGTTGGCCCGTAACAAAGTTCAAAGACGAAGAAGACGTTAAAGAGAATAAGGGAAAGGATAATGACTGATATTGACAGAGCCCTGCTACGTGCCAGGCTGTATAGCAGGCTTCATGAATTACTCCCGTCATAGTCACGGCAATTGTAAATGGTGAATTTAACTATTTACCCCATTCCAAAGAGGAGGAAAGTGAAGCAGAAGAGGTCAAGTAACTTTTCCAAGACTAGAACAGTTCAAAAATGGTGGGTCCAGGATTCTGACCCAAATCCTAGAGTCCAAAGCCTTGTCATTACTCTTTGAGGATGATTCATCCCATGAACCCCAAAGAGAATACTTGAATTTTTTAATTCTCCCCTAATAAATGTGTATCTGTACATATTTTTTTTGCAAAACTATAGAAATAGTTTTGCATGTCAATCACCCAATCTAAATTATGCAGCAGATTACTGAAAACCTATCAATAGTTTACAGAAGTGAATGGATTAATTATAGCTGTTTTTAACATAAGGAAGAAAAGATTGGGGGGCTGTGAGGGTGCTTAAGGAGCTCTCCCTAGAAGGAGGGCTTAGTCAGGCAAAGGGGTGTGAGAACGGCTCTGAGGGAGATGATGGTTGCCAGGAACAGGAGCGTGCGTGAAGGCATGGTGTGGGGAGGGTAATGAGTGGGGAAAGAAAGGAAGGAAGATTAGTACAGAAATTAAGGAGGATGATCTTAAGGCAAAGCTAGAAAGATAGATAGATGGGGGCCATGTCAGGAAAATCCCTGAAAGCTTGTTAGGAATTCTGGCAGTGAAGCCATTCAGAAGGGAAATAATGGCGGCTTCTATTGGGATGGCAGAAGAGGAAAGGGAGAAAAGTGGGCACATCCATCCATGGCTTATGCCAGGAAAAGATTAATTCCAATTAGGATTTTTTCGAATAACTATTATATCAGAAAATTGCTATGGTTATTTTTTATCAGACTTACTATAGTCGAGGGTATACTGAGATTAGCACAGTTTAAACTTGCTGAAAACATGTGAGTGAGAACAGTCTTTCTGGAAAGCAATTTGTCAGTATGTGTCAAAAACCTTAAATACACCACGCTCCTGTGTACACACACACACATGCACCTCAGCCTAATTACCTCACAGGATTCTGACCTAAAATCATAAGGACATTTATCACAGCATCACATAGATTAGCAATAATAGGACAAATAAACAGAAATATAAACCACCTAAATATCCAGGGATATTAGATAAATTAAGCTATATCTACTTATGGAATATAGTCATTTCAAATCACATTTCCAATAATATCCAATGACATGGTAAAGCCTTTATAATATGACTCCAAGTGAAGAAAATCAGGCTATTACATAGATAATGTGGTTATACACAAACATAATGCTATGGTTCGAATACTTGCCCCCTCTAAAACTCTTGTTGAAATTTAATCCCCAATATGACAGTACTGAGCAGTGAGGCTTTTAAGAAGTCAGTGGGTCCTGAGAGCAGAGCCCTCATGAATGAACTGATCCACTGGGAATGGAACTGGTAGCTTTATAAGGAGAGGACCAGAGACCCCAGCTATCGCATTAGCACACTTAGCCTCCTCACTGAGCGAACAATACCCTGAATTGTCTCAGGACTCTGCATGGAGTCCCCACCTGCAATAAGGCCCTCGCCAGATGTGGTCCCTCAACCTCAGACTTTTCAGCTTCCCAGTATCCTGATCAGCTTCCATCCCCAACTAGTGCAAACCTGGTTGGCAACCTGGTGCTAACCACTAGCCTGCCCGGGGCCACCTGAGCATCATTGCCCTTCTGCCCTCAGGAAGCACAAGCTATCAAGGGATTCTTGCTTTTCAATGACAGCCACATGGTTACAGAACCAGCCTGATTCAGAGAAGTAACCACACAAGCAACAGAGTCCACCAAGGAGGAGTGGGTGCCTTTAACAACATTTAGGAAGTAGATTCCAGCAGAAGGTTATTTTTAAAGTCACCAAAGAGTAGCAACATAAATATTTATTCAGAAATAAAATGCTTGACAGCTGAAGGACCCCAGGCCAGGACATGGCCATCATGAAGTCAGGGAAAGGCCAAAATGACAAGAGTATCCCATGAAGTAGAGGCATCTAAGAATGTCCACTGGCCTTGGCAGGAGGATTGATTTGTGTGTGTGTGTGTGTGTGTGTGTGTGTGTATCTCCTGACCTTTCCAAGCCTCTTACCATGGGCTCAATTTTACCAGAGGAACCTACCAGAGCCATAATTTTACTACAATCAGGACAAACAGAAGTCTAAATAGTAAGCCTAAATGGTAAGTGGAGCAAAAGAAAAAAGAACACACAAGGAGAACCTGCCCTCATGGAGGCAAAGCAGGAGAAACATTGACAACGACGCCTAAGACCTAGACTTCAGCGGAAGGCAGTAATAAGGAGTTTGATTACAAGCCGATTGACCTTGAACTGGTTTGGGAGTGCAGAAATCAAAATCTCCATTTTATTTTCTCAAATGTAAAGTTCTGGTCCCAATTCCTCTTCAGCTACATACAGGAAAAGGACAGAAAATAAAAAACCCACAACCTACTGACATTCAAAATAGTTTCTGATGAGGCTTCTCCCACACATTTCCTTAGCTCATTCACCACGAGCCCCAGCACAGCCTGTGTGGCCCTCCACGTAGCTTTCAAACATACTATGTTTCTTACTTATGATACCATCCCGGTTTCCTCAACCACCTGAATCATTACAATTTTTAGTCTCTTTTGCTCTGGATGTCAAATTAAGTGCTTACAGGTGAAAGAATATTCTTTTTAAAGTCATCAAATTTCTAATTGTTATGCCTATATAATACCGATCTAGAAGACACCATCTTTAGATCTTTATTCCTCTGCTGATTTTTTTAAGTATTCTGTAAATTGATTTCTATAGGATCAAGGAATTTAAAAAGTTGCTATTGGTCACAATAATTTTACATTCTTAAATGTATATCACATCTGTCATTGACTGGGCCACTGCTGTCACCCAGCTCTATGCTCAGTTTATGTCATGGAACCTGATACTAAAAACCTCATAAAAACCTCACTGTCTCACGTAGTAGATTGACTATACAGATAAATAGTCACAGGAGAGAAGTATTTTTCAAAAAGTAAGGAAAAACAGGAAGACATAAGTGCCTAAACCTGCTATGAGAGGAGTCTGAGGATTTGCTGCTCACATAGAAACAGGGAAAGTTCCACTCAAAGACATACATGTATTAAATGGAAAATTACTTCCAGGAGACTTTACATCCTTCATGTTCACATGCATGGAGCTGGAAAATGTTCTTCTTAACAAAGTATCACAAGAATGGAAGAAAAAGTACCCAATGTACACACCCCTATTATGAAACTAATTTATACCTTTTATATGAAAGCTATAACCTAATAACAGCCTAAGAATATGGGGAGGGGGAGGAGAGGGGGCGGGGGAATGGGTGGAGGGAGGGGTATTGGAGGGATCACTTCTGTGGTTTATCTTACAAGGGTACAAGTGAATCTTTCTAAGAGTAGAATATGAACATTTTAACACAATAACTAAGAAAATGACATGAAGGCTATGTTAACCGGTTTGATGGAAGTGTTTCGGATTGTGTGTGAAAACCCCACACTGTACCCCAGAAGTGCATTAATGTACATAGTTACCATTCAATAAAAAAGAAAAAAAAAGAAAAAGAAAGTTACTTCTAAATAGCTTATTTTTCAAATTACATTGAGTAGTCTTAAATAATAAGGAAGATTCAATAGAGAAACAATCCAATATACATGACTTCTAGTGATCAAAACTTTCACTATTTAATTCTAAGAGAAAATTTTAATTACATATGTTCTTTTCTTTTTTGAGACAGAGTTTCACTTATTAACCCTCGGTAGAGTGCCATGAAGTCACAGCTCACAGCAACCTCCACTCCTTGGACTTAGGCGATTCTCTGGCCTCAGCCTCCCAAGTAGCTGGGACTACAGGTGCCCGTCACAACGCCTAGCTATTTTTTTGTTGCAGTTAGGCCAGAGCTGGGTTTGAACCCATCATCCTTGGTATGTGGGGCTGACACCCTACTCACTGAGCCACAGGCACGGCCCAATTACACATGTTCTTATAGAAAGCAGCAAAACATGTCCAATATTTTAAATAGTATTTAGGGTAGAGTTTAATTATTTTGGTGGGACCTCACTATAAAAACTTAATTTACACATGGATCACATCTTTCCCTGGAAGAGAAAATATCACTTGAAAGACGTTTCTATCTAATGAAACAACAATTACGCACTTATAAAATGCATTAACAATCAATCAGATCACAAGAGCCATGCTATGAGGGTTCTCTTGAAGCAGAAAACAAGGCCAGGCAAGATTTCTACAGCTTCAAGACTAACAGGGTGGATGCTTCTAGTAAAGACGTGGCTTATTAGGTAACCATTTGTTCATGATTCCATACCAAATATCGCTAAGAAAATAAACTAAAACCAGAAAAGCTTTCTTCTGAGCACATCACTTGACTTGACTGGTTCAGCTCATGTAAAGATATGGGCTCTGTTCTTATCAAAAAGCTATAAACCTTCAAATATTGGCCACTTGGCTACAACTTGTGTAGCAATGATGATTTTACTGCCCATAAAAACATATAATAATTTTATTCCATTTTCTGTGAATTAAAATCCACTCCCATATCCCTAGTAATCCTTTATTTCTGCAGAATGTAGG